CCTTTGTATTTAGGTTCCCTCTTGAAAGCTTGTAAGCCAGTCACTTCTTACCTTTGTATCCCTCCCCCCATTTTGGGTAGCCAGTGTCCAAGTTGCCCATCCCTGTCCACTCTTTGTGTGGAGGAGGTGGGAATAATTCTTGTAGCAGGGATTTGTTTCCTCTTTTGAGCTACTGCGTTCACAGGTGTAGGTCAAGTTTATCAAATTGTATCAGATGACGCTTGTTTCCTCTTCTTTCTTCTTCGGGTTGAGCTCTGTTCGTCCAGTCATTGGAGCCAGGTCAAGTGGGTATCATCTACAATGTGGGTGTTCTTGCAACTATCCGCTCTCTTCTTATAAGCTGGATGCTTTGATCTCCACTCTAGTCCTCTGTGGCTGTGTCATTGACTCTAAGCCCATGAGTTCCCAGGTCTTGCCACACTGCTGGCTGACCAGGTCTCCACCTGGGTTCACAGGAGTCTGCTGAACGATGTAGGGCTTAACTTGCCGCTTCATTGATGTTCTTCGGTCACTTCCCCTTATGGGTGATGTGCGAGGTTGCCAATCAGAGTGTGTATTTCCATTGTGTCTTAGTCTTGGAAGAGGATTTGCACTGAGAGGACCCGACCACTTGCCTTGATGTCTCCTGGGCAAGCAACTTGCTTGTTCTTGTAGTAACAGTTGGACTGCGCTTATTGTATCTTTCCTGTAGGTCTTTCTTTCAAGAAGTATCTTCTGGTTTTCTAGCTGTTCCAGGCTGGTCTGCTCGTCCTTTCAAGTGGGAAATTTCCCATCTCTGAAGGTCTGTATGTGGTTCAGGCTTCCACCTATAGGCAAAGACAAATTTTTACTCAAGGAGTTATGAAATACCTTTAATTAAAACAAAACAAAACTTGTAAGGTGAAAGTTAACACAGTACATTACAATCCCACTCAACATTTCTAAACAAATTATCCATTAATATTACAGTTTTCATTATATGTCATTATTCTCATTCATTCTATTCTGGTTGTTTATTGAAGTTGTCAAAGACTTCATTTCGCCTGAATCCACAATCAACACTCATGTAAGCAGAAGTCAAGAAATCAAATAACATATTGTAGTGCATTAGGCAAATCTGCACACTACCTCTTTAAAGTATTAAAGAACAAAGATGGCAGTTTGAAAACTGAGGTGCGCCTGACCCAAGCCATGGTATTTCCAATAACCTTATTTGTGTCCTGGTGTGGCGCTGTGGGCTAATGTGTCAGATTGCAAAGTCATTGGAACTTCAAGGTTGGTGGTTCAAGCTTACCAGATGCTTCTTGGAAATCCTACAGTCGCTATGGGTCAGAATCGACTTGACAGCACTTCACAACAACATTTGCATGTGAAAGTTGGACAGTGAATAAGGAAGACCATAGAAGAATCGATGCATTTGACTTTGATTGTGCTAGAGAAGAATATTGAAAGGACTGTGGAATGCCAGATGAACAAATCTGCGTTGGAAGAAGTACAGCCAGAATGTTCCTTAGAAGCCAGGATGGGAACGCTTCGTCTCTCATACATTAAAAGTATTATCAGGAGGGACCAGTCCCTGGAGAAGGACTTTGTGCGTGGTAAAGTGAAGGGTCGGTGAAAATAGGGAAGACCCCCAATGAGATAGAATGACACAGTGGCAGCAACAATGGGCTCAAGTGTAACAACAGTTGTGAGGAGGGGACAGGACCAGGCAGTGTTTCGTTCTGCTTTGCTTTGGGTAACTAAGCAGGAGCCGACTGGATCCCACCTAACAACAGCAACAGCATTCTAGTTGTATTTCTAGTACTGCCTCCTTACCTTCTCATCTTTGCTTTAGAGCAAGTTTTGACCATTTGGTTTCTGACACATGACTTTTTCTTATAGAAACTCATTACTCACATGCAGTAATCTTTAATTTATGATCCAATCTGTTATTCAGTTAAAAAGCAGCCTTGAGGAATAATTATGGTTTAAGGTTTAAAGCATTTATCAGGGTGACAGTCTTGGGGAGCCCTCTAATCTCAACTAGCCCAGAAAGCCTGAATTTTTTAAGACTTTGAGAATAATGTTGCTTGTTAATTTTCTGATACAGCTTTTAAATACATGTTTATTCTAATTTTTCTCCAAAGTGTTTGTGACTTTTGTTCTGTACTCATTTAAGCAGTTTAAAATCATTTATTCTTTCTGTAAATTGGTATTTCCCAGATTACTGACATGTTTCTAATTTATAGGTTCAATATTAGTAGCATGGCATTTTTAGCTTCTATGCTGTTCCTGAGATCTATGATGTTGGGGGAGCTGCAGAAGGGAATTTATCAGCCACAGTTGTACATGTATTAAAGCATAGCTGAAGAGCAGACCATCCTAATTTGATTTTCCCTTATGGATTCATTAGTGTTGGGTTCCCCAAAGACAATGGTCAGTATTAATTAAAACATCCGTTAAGTGTATGAATCACATCTACTTCTGTGTGAGAAGCAGTGGAGAGCTTTAAAGTATCAGTCGAATACAAAGTATCACTTGAATGGAGGTTAAAAAAAATCTAGCTCTGTTGTTTTCAGGCAGATGCATCTTTAAAGCCAATAGCCTTAAGATTTATCAGAATTAACACAATTGATTGCTCTAGAGAACCAGTGTGACTTGCTACATAAGAGAGGAGAGATAGATACTGTGTTGCATATATGATGGTGTGGGTTCTGACTCATAACAACCCTGTTTAGGGTTTCTGAGGCTGTGAATCTTTACAGGAGCAAAAACTTCACCTTTCTCCCATGGAACGGCTGGTAGTGATGAACTGCTGACCTTGAGATTAGCAGCCCAACTTGTAACCATTTCGCTGCCAGATCTAGATACCATGTTATGAGGCGTTATTGACCCTATGGTACAAATCTCACCTTCCAGAAGGGAGACCCGGGTTCAGTGCCTGCTCATACACCTTAAGCACCTTAAGCACAGCCATCTGCCATTCAAGACTGTATGCTGCCGTGATGTTGAACAGGTTTCAGTGAAGCCTCCGGACTCACATGGAATAGGAGGAAAGGCTGGTGATATCCAATTCAGAGAATCAACTATTAAAAGCCCTCTGGATCCCAACAGTGGATCCCCAACCAATGTAGGGAATGGGACAGTACTGATGGTGCAGGATTGTCTGGTCAGTGTTTTGTCTCTGTGTGTGGGTCACCGTGAGTCAGAAGATGACTTGATGGTAATGAACAGCAACAAAGATGTTATGTTGCCAAACTTTCTGGGAGAGGACACTCTTGAAGTAATTCTGAAATGGTAAGAAAATGTGTAAATTCCAGATTTATCATATATTGATTATGCATATGTAATCTAAACAGGCATCCTTTTGAACTGATGGAACATTAAAATATTTTCTTCTAGGTTGGACATCGAGGGACAATTAAAGATTATCCAGGCTTCAGCCCTTCAGTGGATGCTGAAGGTGTTCGCAAGGCAATCAGAGGAATTGGTGAGTGTGGCTTTGTGGGTTAATGCACTGGACTGCAGTCAGTTTGAACCACAAAGTTGGTGGTTCAAATTCACTAGCTGCTCCTTGGGAACCCTATACAAGGTCACTATGGGTCAGAACCAACTCAGCAGCACTTAACAACATCAACTTTACAATTCGTCTATCTGGGTGGCACGAATTGGTACGTGCTCGACTACTAGCCAAAAGATTAGTGGTTCAAACTCACCCAAAAGTTAGCTAGGAAAATGATCTGTTTCTGAAAGATTATTGCCTTGAAAACCCTATGGAGCAGTTTTATTGTTTATGCATGAGATTTCCATGAGTCAGAATCAATTTTATGGCAACTAACAATCACTTTATAATTCTTTTTGTAATGTTGAAGCAAATCTAGAAATACACAGTCCAAAAGTACCTAGATTAACTTTGCCCAAGTTGGTTTACTCAGAAAAGTCCAGACTGTTTTCAAAATTGGTAAATAATCAGGAAAAGTATAGAGAACCCAGGTTTTATTAAATCTTAACATTTGTCTTATTCACATTAAAAATAACTACCACGACCACTGGTTCTACCAATGATGATAATCACAATAATAAAATCATCGCAGATGGAGCTGAAAGTCCCCTCCCACTCCTCCTCGGTCACATTCCCACTCCATTCCCTACATAACACAATCCTAAATTAGAGCTTCTTATTCCCGTGAAACATCTTGTACCACAGCTATAGATGTATGTATGTATTATTATTTCACATTGTTACACTATAAAATTGGAATCATCCTCTATACGTTCTCTTGCAACTTGGTTTTGTCTAACCTTAACATTATATTTTTGAAATGTATCCCTGCTTTTATGTTTAGCTTAAGTTCATTAATTTTAACTGCATAGTAAACTATTGCACCACTATACCATAAAGTGGGACCATTGATGGGACAGTCAAATGGCTTGAAATTGTTTTCTATTACATTCTAAAAATACTGCAATGAATATTCCTGTTTATGTCTCCTTGTGCACATTTGCTAGTATTTCTCTTGAATATAACAAGAATTGGAATTTTTAGATTGAAGGGAGATGATTGTTCTCAAATTAACTAGAAATTCGATCAAACTGCTTTATGAAATAAATGTGTAAATTAGCATTCTACCAGCAGTGTGCGAGGCTTCTTCTTGCTCTGTATTTTTACCAATACTTACTATGCTCAGACTATTAAATTTTCTGATTTAGTGAGACTAAAATTATATTTCATCTAACATGTGTGTTAGTTTCATAGCTCCTATCCTCCCCCATTACTGAAAAGCATCTTTTCTCGTTTGCTTCCTTTTTCATGAATTGCTTCTTCATATCTTCTGCCCATTTTTTTAAAATTGAGTTGTCTTTTTCTATGTGATTGGAAAAAAGTTTAAAAAAAATAAATTCTTGATACCAACCTTTTCATATTTTCAAATAAAAACCATGAAAATGTCTTCTACTCTATAGTTTTCTTAAAACATTGGCTATAACACCTTTCATTGCATCCAAGTTTTAAATTTTAGTGAAGTCAAATTAGTTTTGTCTGTATGATTTATGCTAATTACGTCTTGTTTTAGAAACCTTTCTCTATAATGAGGACATAGATATCGTCTCTATTTTCTTCCCAAAGTTTAAATTTTTTGTTTTTCACACTGAGATATTTAATACAACTGGAATTCTTATTTGCACATAGTATTTAAAATTCTGGTGTGGCACTGTAGGATAAGCACTAGATTGCTAACAACAAGGTTGGGGTTTCAGACCTACCAGGCACTCCTCAGAAACCCTGTGCAGGGTTGCTATGCATCAGAACTGACTCAGTGGCACGTAACAACAATTTTATTTTATCCAAATGGACAGTTAATTGTCCAAGCGCTATTTATTGAAGAATTTATTCTTTTAATACTGATTTTTAATCACCTTTGTTTTATGTAAAGTTCTTTTGGTTTTATTTTTTCTGCTCTCTGGTTAGTTCCATTGGTCGATTTGTCTCTTCCTATACCAGGAGTCCTGGTATGGCACTGTGGGTTAACTGCAAAGTCATTTGAATTGCAAAGTCATCAGTTCAAGCTCACCAGTCACTCCTTGCAAACCCTATACAAGGTCGCTATGAGACAGAACTGACTCAATGGCACTTAACAACAACAACAAAATGCTAGTAATGGTGTTCTGGTGTGGTGCTGTGTGATAAAGCACTGGGCCTCAAAGTCAGTGTGAATTGCACATTGGTGGTCCAAATTCACCAGCCGCTCCTTGGAAACCCTATACAGGTCAGTCAGAACTGACTCAACGGCACTTAACAACAACAACAATGCCAATAATGATAAGCACTGAACTGTGAACTACAAGGTCCACAGTTCAAGTCTGCCAACCGCTCCGTAGGAGAAAATGAGGCTTTCTGCTCCCATGAAGATTTAAAGCTTTGGAAACCTGTTACAGGGTTGCTATGAGTCAGAACAGATTCCATGGCACTTAACAACAACAAAAAATGGCAATACCAGCAAGTCCTGGTGGCACAATGGTTAAGCACTCAGCTGTTAATCAAAAGGTTGGCAGTTTGAACTCACCCATTGCTTCCATAGGAGAAAGACTTAGTGATGTGTATCCACAAAGGTTACAGCCAAGACAACTCTTTAGGGCATTTCTACTCTGTTCCTTGGAGTTACTGTCAGCCAGAATCAACTCCATGGCACTCAGCAACAACATGTCAACACCATGTTGTCATAATAACTACAACTTTTTAATGAAGTGTCTAGTAGGGTGAGGACTTTTCTTGCCCCTGTACCCTCTTATATAAATTTGAGAACCGTCTTGTCAAATGCAGTGAAATATACCTTACCATATGTATTTTATTTCAACGTAATATTATCTTATTTTTCACCTGTTTTGTGGATTTTCTTTTTTCTATTTTCAAAAGTTAGTTCTTTATCTGTTTGATTGCCCTATTCATACACAGATTTGAATAGTCTTATTCAGACTGTTTCGGGAGGTAAATGCCTACTGGGATGAATTTGTGGTCTATTCTATTGCCTGTCTTACTTGATATTGTTTTTTCATAATTTTTTTTTTTTTCCATTTTGATTTGCAAGCACACTTTGAGAAGCAACACACACACACACTTTCTCAGTTAGGAATCAGGTTTCATAATGGTATTTGCAGCAGATCCAGTTTGAACCAGCAGCTTGGTTTGGTTACTGGTCTTGAACATTTGCAAGTGAATTCACAGCTTTCCAACCCCACTGTAGTCCCATCTTGCAAATGAGGTGAACACAACTTTTTGCATTTATCTTAATATTGTAGTTACCAAGAAACAATGACTTTGAGATCATTAGGAAACAGGTCAGCATCAGTCCTGGTCTGATATTCCCACTTACTTACAAACACGTAGGTAAGCATATGGGTATGCAGTATATGAAAGCTGTGAACCAGAGCTAGAAATACATGTTTTGGAGTCAAAGAGGTTGGAGTTCAAAGTCTTGCTACCCCAAGGCACTGTGTGACTTTTTCAAGTGAGACAAGTCTCTAAGCATTAGTGTCATCACCTTTAGGATAACGTACTCATACCTACCACACAGGACCCCTGCGAATACTAGCTATGACAACAAATAACATGGTACCTGGTAAATGGTAGGTTCTCAATAAATCTCCCTCTTTTCTCTAGAGGGAAAAAAAAATAGTTTGATAACCATTAGGGGTATGTGTGTCATTAAGTTCTGACTCTATATAGGGTTTCTGAGATCTTCACAGAAGCAGAAAGCCTCATCTTTCTCTCATGGAGCAGCTGGTAGATTTATATTGCTGACCTTGCAGTTAGCAGCCCAACTCATAACCCACTAAATACTCTACCAGGTCTCCTGAACAAGTAGGAGGTAAGAGAGCGAAGGTGAGAAGACAAAAACTGAACTTTTAAGGGAGAACAGAATAATAAATCCTTTATGGTATGCCTGCTCTCTGATCTACAGATAGGAATATTTGGGCAATGATTGTTTTCTTCTCCAAAACAATCCAAATAAAGTTAATTTTCATTTGTAAGAGATAACCGTCCCCCCTGTCCCCCCCGAAAAAAAGTCCTAAAATGAAAGCAGTAGAGTCCGACGTGGTAAGAACCTAGAAATTAAAATGAAAATACCTTACTCTCTATTTGTTTCAGCCCATTAATCATTTTTCTTTTGTTGAAGGCAGTTCTATGGAACATCTTTGGGTTGACAGTAAGTAAACTGATTTTTGTTTCATTTAGGAACCGATGAGAAGACGCTCATCAACATTCTGACAGAGAGGTCTAACGCACAGAGGCAGCTGATCATTAAGGAATATCAAGCAGCGTATGGAAAGGTACAAGTCGATTAACTTAACAGCCAGTAAAGAGATAAGTCCTCATTTACTAGGGGTGCTCCCATGTGACTATGCCCACAGGTCATTCATTCCAAGCCTTAGTGTCACAGAAAGTGCTCTGTGTATCCATTCAGCAGCCTGGAACCTGTGTCTAAGTACTGCCCTAAGCAGAACCTGGGTCTTGGTACTGCCTAATGACCTTGGACATGTTGCTTGAACTTTATGGGTCTTGATTTCTTCACCTGTAAAATAGAGATGGTTACCTTGATTATTGCTTCTAAATTGGAGGTGATTTGGCAATGTCCAGAGAGAGTTTTGATTGTCACAGTTAGGGGGAAGGGGTGCTTTTGACATCTAAGCGAACAGTGCACAAAAAAGGGGTAGCTGACCTGTACTGTAAACAATGCCATGGCTGACAGGTTGTATCTTAAATGATCTTTAATTTCTCTTCTAACTTTAAAATGTGTATGTAAGTTTAATTCATTCAATAAATCAAAACTTACTAAGTACAAGAAACTTGCTATATAAGAATGAGTTAGACTTGGTCCTTGCCATACACAGTTTCTCTATTTTACACATAGTGATCTAGTCTTCTGGAGACAGGAAGGAACAATGGTGACATAATGTTTAAGCACTTGACTCTCAGCCAAAAAATGAACCAAAAGTTCAAAAGTTGCCTGCGAACCAAAATTTCAAATGTGCCTTTGGCTCTAGAGGAGAATTGTCGTGGTGATCTGCTTCTGCAAAAATTACAGCCTGAGAAACTCTATCGAGCAGTTCTACTCCGTCATATCGAGTAACTATGTGGTGGAATCGACTCGAGAACACCCCAAAACCACAGCGGCAACAACAGTATCAGGAGGGGCCCTAGCCATTGTAGTGTGCTCTCCTGTATAGAGTGTCTGAGAGTGACTGGTAGGTTTGAACTGTTGACCTTATGGTACAAAAGTGTGAAAACACTTTCATGGACCTAACATCCTATCGGATATAAAATAATAAAGTAAATATTTATCTATAAAAGAAGTTCTGATGTGGTCCTGTAAGACAAGCACTGGATTTGCTTACAGCAGGGTCAACATTTCAAACCTACCGGCTACTCCTCAGAAACCCTATACAGGGTTGCTAGGAGTCAAAACTGACCCAATAGCACTTAACAGTAACAACATGAAAAAAGAAAATAAAACAGTGATGGGGTAGAGAATGGCTTCATTTTCTAGGGTGGTGAAGAAATGTGACTATGGAGTTGTTGAACCTTCCTGTAAACTAAGACTGAGTGATACTAAGTGTTTCAGGCAGCCGGTACAGCAAATGCAAAAACACTGAGGCGGAAACAAGCTAATATCTGAGGAGCAGAAATCATTCCAATGTAGCAGGAAGGTAGCAAGTGAGAGGGAGCCGAGGGAGCAGATGGGATAGATGGGAGGTTTAGAACATACTAGGCCTTCAGGTATTGCTACAGTGTTAAGATTTTCTTCTAAGGAGAACTGGGAGTCATTGGAGGCTTATAACCAGGAAAATAATCCAGTTTGTATCCTTAAAAGGTTTGACTATTGTGGTTAATGGACTACAGAGGGGAAAGGTTGGAAACAGAGACCAGCCAGGTGACTGGATGGTCAAGGTGAGAGACGTGAGTGTCTAGTGACCATTCTTAGGCTGCTCAGGTATCATCTCTTGAAAGTGTTATCCTAGCCTCCATCAAGGCATCCTTCTCCATGTTCCTTCTATCAGATTTTAACATATTTGATGGAAATTTTATCTTTGCATATGTCTGTTTTTCCTATTACGGCATAATGTCCTAGAGGCAAGGATTGTGTCTGCCTCACCTTTAAATAAATGTCTAGCACAATAAATATTTGTTGATTAAATGAATTGCCAAATTTCTGGGCAAGGCAGCACATTTGGGCATGTTGTTGTGTTAGGTGCTGTTGAGTCGGTTCTGACACATAGCGACCCTATGCACAACAGAACAAAACACTACCCAGTCCTGTGCCACCCTCACAATTGTTTTACTGTTGAGCCCATTGCTGCTGCCACTGTACCACTCCATCTCATTGGGCGTCTCCCTCTTTTTTGCGGACCCTCCACTTTACCAAGCATGACGTCGTTCTCCAGGGACTGGTTCCTCCTGATAATATGTCCGACGTATGAAAGGTGAAGTCTGGCCACCTTGACTTCTAAGGAATATTCTGGTTATACTTCCAGCACAGATTTGTTTGTTCTTCTGGCAGTCCATGGTACTTTTAATATTCTTCTCCAACAGCATAATGCAAATGCATCCATTTGTCTACTGACAATGTGTTATACTGTGGGAACTTGCATGTTGCTATGATATGGAAGCTATGACTCTGGTATTTTAAATGCCAGCAGGGTCACCCATGGAGGACAGGCTTTAGTTGAGCTTCCAGACTAAGACAAAATAGAAAGGAAGTCAACTACTTCAGAATATTTATCCACTGAAAATCATCTGAATAGCAGTGGAATAAAAAACTGTCAGATAGCACATTCTTTGTATCGGGAACGTAAATGATCCACTGACTGTTCAGCATTTTTAAAATAGGAAGACTAAGGGAAATAATCATTTCTCACAGTAGGGTAGAGTAAAAGTGTGTGAGATTTCACAAGTTGAGTTGAAGACAAATGGTAGTTGAATTCAGCATTTAGGAACCCCCCTCCCCCCCCAAAGTGATGGAAGCAGAGCTAGGGACACTTGGCTCCATCCTGTTTGTTTCTGCAAAGGCATGTCCCTGCTGTGCCCCGCAGGGGTGTGCTAAATGCTGATCTGTACCCACATTGTGTGGCAGTCCAGAAAGCTGCCATTCTCTGTTTCAGGAGCAGTCTGAGGGGGAAAACGCATTCTGTAGCATTTCTTTGACTATTGAAAATTGAAACTTGTTACCTATCTTAAAGCAGGGAAGATGGACCAGACAAATGTACTGTGTGAATGCAGTGCAAGAGTACACTATCACTGAGCAGTGTTCACCCATTGCCACATTCAGGGGTAGACATTTACAGCAGTGGTCAGAGAATAGCTTCTGATTTCCCCTTAGTTCCAGCAAGCTCTCACCAGGTGCTAGTGACCAACTAGTATCCCTCCCTTCCCTTTTTTATTACCCTGAGCTCCTTGGTAGTCACTGAGTTGTTGTTGTTGTTAGGTGCCATCGAGTCGATACCGACCCGACCCATAGCGACCTTATGCACCGCAGAACGAAACACTGCCCAATCCTGGGCCAACCTTACTACTGTTGCCACACTTGAGTCCATCAATGCTGTCACTTGGCCAATCCATCTCGTTGGGGGTCTTCCTCTTTTTTTTTTCTGACCCTCCACCTTACCAAACATGATATCCTTCTCCAGTGACTGGTCCCTCCTGACAATATGTTCAAAGTATGAGAGGCGAAGTTTGGCCATCTTGGCCTCCAAGGAACACTCTGGCTGCACTTCTTCCAAAATGGATCTATTGGTTCTTTTGGCAGCCCATGGCACTTTCAATATTCTCCTCCAACACCATGACTCAAATGCGACAATTCTTCTACGGTCTTCCTTATTCACTGTCCAGCTTTCACATGCATATGAGGTTATTGAAAATACCCTGGCTTGGGTCAGGCACACCTTAGTTTTCAAGCGGACATCTTTGTTCTTTGACACTTTAAAAAGGTCTTGTGCAACAGATTTGCCTAATGCAATATGTTGTTTGATTTCTTGACTGCTGCTTACGCGAGTGTCACTGAGAGGAATGTTAAAAAAAAAAAAAAAAAAGTCACCGTGGGTGCTATCTGACCTTGTCTGACTTCACAGGGAGGAGGAGAGTCCTCAGCAAAAAGTCAATTCCTGTGAGGCTGAGGTCAGGCATGCCTCCAACTTTGTACATTCTCTACCAGTTTTAACACCAACCATACCTCTGACAACACTTTCTACTGATTTTGATATTTCATTACAGTGGCAACAGAGAATTCAAACACCATGATCAAAGTTACGGGGCTTATTAGGGATGTTAACAGGTTATAATTCAGGAACAGAAATACTTAGGGTGTAGTTTTTCTAGTCAGTACAGCCTCTCCTCAGCTTTACCCACAGGCAGACCTTTCTCTGGTCCTTGGCCTCTCAGCCATGGTCCCTTAGCCTCTGTCCTGCTTCAGCAATGTTACAAAGCTCTTTTAGCACTACTGACAAATGTCCAAAGGGTACTCTGTTACACCTAGAGGCCATAGCTTGAAGGCATGTGACTCCTTGGTTCAGCAAACTTAGCTCCACAACACACTCCAGAAGTGAACCTCCTACACAAAGGCACTCTGCTTCACTTTGTCTGTGGCCTGGGGAACCCACCACTCTGCCTGGTGAACTGGCTCTTGGTTCTGCTGCTACTGTCCTTTGCTGCTGCTCTTCTGCTCCTCCTCCAGTGCTATAGCTTTCCGTCCCTGGGTCAAGGAAGTTCGATATGTAGGGATCTCAGGGTCCAAAGGACACCCCTCTTCCCCCACTTCTGACTCTTCCTCCTTGAGGGAGATGTGATTCCCTGCTTCTGAGATGGCTCATTTTATACACATGGTAGTGTTCCAAGTTTTTGTAATAAAAATTTACCCTGTTAGCAATCATTCATAACTGAATCATTTAATCCTATTAGCATCTTCTCTCTGGTAGCGTAGTGGTTATGAATCAGGCTGCGAACCTCAGGGTCAGCAGTTCGAAACTACCAGCTGTTCCGCAGGAGAAAGATGAGGCTTTCTGCTCCCGTAAAGATTTACAGCCTCGGAAACCCTGTACGGGGTCGCTATGAGTCAGAACCAACTCCACGGCACATAACAACAACATCATCAGGGGAAAAAATTTTGGTTTGTGGGTGTTAGGAAGAATATGGGTAAAAGAGCCATATGAAGTAATTTACTGCACTGCAAGGAAGGTACCTAGTAATAGGGCACCCCCTAGTATAAAGCTGGAGGTGCCTTTATGAGGCCCCCTCATGTTAATATAATAACCTGCATATTCAAACTCAGTTCTGGAGCTTCTAAACTAAGGACTAGGAAGAAAAGCCTGATGATGTGCTTCTGAAAATCATCTCATGGAAGCCTTATGGATACCAGTTCTCCTATCCACAACTGATCCTGAGCATGGAACCAGACCTGACAGCAGTTGATTCCCTTGTGTATGGGATTTTCATGAGTCAGGGATCAACTTGTTAGCACTAACAACAACAGTAGCTGTGGCATGCATCTAGTTCCCTCATTTAGCTTTTATGCAAAAAGCTTTTTATAAAGCAGAACATTTTAGAAATAACCATAAAATGCAGATTCATATCCATTGACATTTCTGTTTATTCCCAGTCAATGGCATGTTTTCATTTGGTCTTGAAACATATGTTCATCTTTCACTAGGTGACCTTAGGAAAGGAAATGAAAAGTGTTTCATGCTATCCTCTTTGGTAACATTTTATTTTTAGGAGTTGAAAGACGACTTGAAGAGTGATCTCTCTGGCAACTTTGAGCATATAATGGTAGCCCTTGTAACTCCACCGGCAGTGTTTGATGCAAAGCAGCTAAAGAAATCCATGAAGGTATGAACCCTTTGCAAGCCTTTTCTATCCAGGATTTGACTGTATCTTCAAAAGTAATAACTGATTTCTAGTACACAATTCACTGTGGTTCTAAATGTCGTAGACACAGATGGCATTTTGATGCGGTGCTTTTCATTCAAAATGACTGAAATCGGGAACAGTCATGTAACTTTTGAGTCCAAAGTTTCCTATGTCAAAAGAATCCTGACATAGGAAAATTTAGTTGGTTGGTTGTTTTTGCCATGTAGAATCCCATTTCCTAGCTGTTGTCATTAGAAGTAAATGATACGATGACATCAGCCCCATTGTTTGGCCAAAACTGATTATCCTTGATCCCCTGCTTTCCTTTATCCTTAAATCTCAGTAAGTCTGTTAGGTTTACTTCCAAAATCTGTCCCAAACGTGTGAATTTCTCTCAAAATCTATTGCTACCATCCTAGGCCAACCACCACCATCTTTTGGCTGGATTATTTCAGTAGCCTCCTAACTGGTCGCTTTGCTTCCATTTTGCTACCTCTGTCGTATTCTTCATAGTCCTGGTGTGATACTGTAGGATAAGCAGTGGAAAGCAAGGTCGATCTGAACCACATGGTTGGTGTTTCAAACTCACCAGCTGTTCCTCAGAATCCCTATACAGGGTAGCTATGAGTCAGAACTGACTTGATGGCACGTACCAAAAACAACAACAATATATTCTTCACAGAATAACCAAAATGATTTTTAGTACATATAAATCAGATTGTGCTAGTCACCTGCACAATTCTCCAGTGGCTCTAAATATGCTTTACCATGGCCTGCTTATATTACCCAGTACAGTCAGACACTTGCCTATCTGTGTGATTTTTTGTTTAAATACCCTCTTGCCCCCATCTTTAGTACTACAGTCATACTAGTCTGCTCTCTAATCATTGAACATTCTAAGCTTGTTCCCTTTTGGGGGTCTTTATATGTTATATTCCTTGTCTCAGGACTGCTTTTCTCCCAGACATGTTCAGTCGGTTCACTCAGTTTTATTTTCTTAAGTATTCCTGTTATTATTTTAAATGATCTTTTTTCTGTCCAGCTAAAAGGCAACCTCCATTATAGCAGGGAATCTGAGCTGTCTTGTTCTGTGTCCTCTGTTCCTAGAGCAGGACCTGGGGTGAAGTAGGTGCTCAGTACATACTTGTTAAAGGAAAGAAAGGACTCTAGGCCTAAGGTATAACCATATACTACTGTCTTCCCATCAGGGGTAGGAATCTTCCTTATCTTTTCTAGGGAAGAGATATGGAAGCGATATGGGTATGTCAGTTCAGATCTTCCAAAAACCAGATGTTGCTTTTGTTAAGTTCCATTGAGTTGGTTCCATCTCATAGTGACCCTGTATAAGGTTTCAGAGTTTGTAATTCTTTGCAAGAGTAAAAAGTCTCACCTTTCTCCCACAGAGCAGCTGGTGGGCTCAAACCACCGACATGATGGTTCAGAGTCCAGTGCTTATCTTACAGTCACCATGCTCCCCAAAGAAGCACATAACAAGGTAGAATTAGATGGGAGAGATTTATTGGGGATAAATTCCCATGAGGGCTAAAGGGAAAAATAAGCCAGGCAAACAGGGGTAAGCATTCAGCCTATGACACAGGTCTGAGTCCTGTGAAAGGAGAAAAGAGAAGAAAGTAGACTCGGAAGGGAAGACCATCAGTCTACAATGCAACTCTGAGATAGTGTTGGCTGATTGAGGAGGAGCTTTGGAGCACATTGTTCTTTGGAAGACTCCCATGTTGGACAGAAACAGCACTGCTCCAGTATCTGTTGTACTTATCATTAACTGTGCTTGTCAATAGCCTGGAGCGAGCATGATATTGGAGACAACACTGTAACAGATCCAAATATATGGCAATCAGAGGCTCTTGGCCAATAAAATTCTTTGCCACATATTCTCATAAAAGGAAATCTGAGCAATGTACTTTGATAGGTACCCCGAAGGCAGAGTTAAACAGATGCCAATAGTAAGAATTCAGTTCACCTACAAGGGTGAGAAAAAAATTGTTTTGCACACACAAAAAACCCCAAATAAATAGTCCAGTCCAGTGCTAGGTGTGATGGCAACACCATTATCAGTGACTCAGGCCCCTTTAGCTCATGGGTTTCACTTCGTGGTGAAAGAGGTCAGCTCCAGCTGCAGCCATTAGATCTTCATTTGAGTCAACTGAAAGGGATAATGGTCATAGAAGGGTCTAGCCTCTCTTTCTTAAGGACACGCCCTGAAATTATAGTTGATACTTCTGCATGTATATCGGTGCCCAGAACTTAGTTATATGGCTAAACCTAGCTGTAAATAAACGGAGAAACAGGGTCTCTATTTGAGCATTAGGTGCAGAGTTAAACTTTGAGGGTTCTATTACAAAGCAAGAAAAACGAAAGAGATACTAGAGGCAACTAGGAATGTCTGCCACAAAACAGAATTCAGCCTTGTTTTAAATGCTTCATTGGCCTTATTTGATCAAGTCCTCATGTAAATGAGTTCAGTTAGATTTAGTGATTTCAGTATAAACAGAGGTTCATGGGTAACTGATCTTCAAGTCACCTGGCCCAATAGTACACATTATTTATAAATCTTGAAAATCTTCCTGGGTCAAGAGGATAACATAATGTTAACCAAAGCAGTGCAGTGGTGCAAAGATTTAAAAAAAAAAAAAAAAAAAAAGCCCTTTTTCTACATACAGTAATGGATTTGAACACTCAGAAGAGTTAATACGATCAGGCTACTATTTCTAACCTTGAATGACAAGGTAAGGGGACAGTTTTTCACGGAGACAATTAGCTACATATCTAGTCCTAGTCCTGATTTTAGGAACTCTGGTAGTGTAGTGGTTACAAGTCGGGCTGCTAACCTCAAAGGGTGAGCAGATTGAAACTACCAACTGTTCCATGGGAGAAAGATGAAACTTTCTAGTCCCGTAAAGATTTAGAGCCTTGGAAACACCCCATGCAGGGTTGCTATGAGTTGGAACCGACTCCACGGCATACCACACCACCACCACCAGTTCTGATTTGGACTCCTGGTATGGCACTGTAGGATCAGCACTGGGCTGCAAACCACAAGGTTGGCAGTTCAAACCTACCAGCTGTTCCTCAGAAACACTATACAAGGTTGCTATGAGTCGGTACTAACTAAACGACACTTAACAACAGGTCTGATTGGATTTCCCTTCTTCCTGTGTTGCTCCAGGCAAAGAGATCAATTGTTGTGCCTTAGATGGTCACTTTCAAGCATCTAAAACCTCAGACACTACCCAAGGAACTAGAAGGTAGAATAGATGCACTAAACACTGTGTTAATGAACTGTGACTCATTATGAAACCATGACCCCAAACTTCCAAACCCAAATACCATATTCCGTGAGATATCGTTTCCACCTTTTGCCTATTCTAGATAGTTCTGTGATGAACTTTGGTCTGCATGTGTCTGTGGTGCTGCTTTCAATCCTCTTTCAACTCTGTTTTGGTATACCTAGGAAGAGAATTGCTGGAGTGGATGGTAAGTATTTAACTTTTTGAGGAACTATTTTCTACTGTAGCTATTGTTGTTGTTGTTGTTAAGTGCCATCGAGTCGGGTCCGACCCATAGCGACCCTGTACAGGGTTTCCGAGGGTATACCACATTGCAATTCATGTTTTTTAATATTAAGATAATGTGGAAATTAGAATTTTATTTTAGAGCACCATAGGATTTCTTTTTTAAGTTTTATTGTGAATTGACTGATAGAGAACATAAGCTTTACACCATCATTTCACTGTAGTGATTGCAGTCTCTTCCATGCACCATCATTCAACAGGATTTGCTTCTATTCCCTCTGTTTTTTTTGGGTGGGATGTACACAAAAATACTTAGGAATATATAATAATTTAAACAATATATAATCATTTAACCCACCAAAGGGTATATTCTGCAAGCCTGCTTCCTGGCCGCAAACACTCAGCCCCTCTCTTTCCATGAGTCTAGAGTCCTCAGCTGCTCTATCTCTCCATGTCCTCATCTCTGCCTCCATCTCTGGTACCACTTATAGCAGCATAGGATTTTATAACATTTCAGTCAAAATTGTTTTCTTAGCTGTATTAAGCAAGATATCAGGACTGAATTGCATGATACTAATTTTTTAAGTGCTCTAAAAATCAGTATTCTTGTTCTTTTTTTAGGGAACTGGAACAAATGAAAATGCATTGATTGAAATTCTAACCACCAGGACAAGCAGGCAGATGAAGGAGATCTCTCAAGCCTACTATACAGGTAGTCTTACATTCTGCTTACACTAGAGTGCCTGGCCCAAGCCATGTATGTTTAATAGCCCCATACGCATGCAAAACCTAGAAAATGGATGATAAAGACTGAAAATGAATTGGTGGCGGTAATGTGCCCTGGAGTCGGTTCCGGCTCATAGCGACCCTGCGTAGGGTTTCTGAGGCTGTAAATCTTTACTAGAGCAGAAAGCCTCATCATTCTCCAGTGGAATGGCTGGTAGTTTTAAACTATTGACCTTGAGTTGAGCAGCCTGACTCATAACCGCTACGCTACCAGAGCTCCTTGAAAATGAATTGATACCTCTGAATTATGATATTGAATATACCATATACTCAAGTATATTGAGTATGCTATGGACTGCTAGAAGGACAAACAAAAATAGCTTGCAATAAATACAGTCAGAACGCATCTCAGAAGCAAGGGTGGTGAGACTTGATCCATGTACTTTGGACCAGTCCCTGGAGAAGGACATCATGCTTGGTAAAGTAGAGGGTCATTGAAAAAGAGTAAAACCTTAACAAAGTGGATTGGCCCAGTGGCAAAAACAGTGGGTTCAAACAATTGTGGGGATGGTGCAGGACCAGGCAGTGCTTTGTTCTGTGTTATATACGTCCCTTGTCTGTGAGAAATGGCTCAGTGTCACCTAACAACAACCCAATTCTAGAAGCCAATGTTGCTTTTCCCAGCAAACCACCAACATCTTTTACACCAGAATTTTGAGGAGAGAAGACTTATCAGAGGAAGATGGCAGTCTTAAATGGACTAAAGATGGTGGATTTTAAGAGAAGATTTTTATACAATCTAAGCTAGAAAGTACCCATTTGAAGTTCAAGGTCAGCGATTCAAGCTGACCAGCTGCTCCTTGGAAACCCTATACAGGGCCACTATTGGTCAGAACCGACTCAATGGCACTTAACAACAACAAGCTAGAAAGTGCTATTTAACAATTGCATTAATGCCTGGCATTTATGGTATTATAGCTGCAGTGGATTGTGCACTCAATAATCACTCTTCAATTGAATCAACTATTTTCATCAAACGTTGGTGAGACTCAAATCATTGTATATTATTAGATCATTATATATTATTATATGTTAAAACCACTCTGCAGAGTCAGGGAAGAATGGCAGAATGGACACTCCCACTCACTTCTCCAGCAACTAACTCACTGAACGATGAATAAAACAAGCTGAGACGGAGGTCCTAGAACTCCACATTACAGCTGAGATATTGGAGAGTTGGGGTAAATCCAGAAGAATGTGTAGGAGAGAAAGAATGGAGTCAGTTCAGAAGCCAGGAGCTCCTACTCATTAATATCAGGTGTGTTTGCTCAGGGCAGCCGTTTGAGGATGGGGCCTGGGTAACACATCAAACACTGAATATGAAAAAGAACCTAATCTGAGGAAAATTTAGCCCACAATTTTTTTAAAGGTGGTTAGTCCTGAGAGTTTATTGACTGCACAATTGGAAAGGGTGCTAGAGAGGTAAAAACACACCATTTCCACAGGAAAGTTGAGCCCCACTGCGTATGGCAATGTCTGTGAACAACTAACCACCCCTGCCTCCCACACATTCATATTGAATCTCAGAGACCAGGCATATAGAATTCCTCAACCACCACTGAAACAAAATGAAAAGGCCCACCTAGTGATTTTGAGGAGAAGCTATCAAGTACTCCATCGCTACTGGGTCATTCTGACTCATGGTGAACCTGCCGAGCTGAGGGGAACTGCCCACATGGGGTTCCCAAGGTTCTGCGTCTTTGCAGAAGTAGTGTGCTACAGCTTTCTCCTACAGAGCAGCTGGTGGGTGTGGAGCCTGGCCTTTCCGTCGGCAGCTGGACACTTGGCCACGGCTCCAAGTAGAATGTCCAATCGGAAAATAAATAGAATACAATTAAAAAAAAAATAACAAAATGCCCCAAGTTCAACAAAAATAGTATAGACAAGAAATTACAAGAGGGAAAGGAATAATCAAAACAAAACATGAAGAAAAAGAAATCTTTCCCATGGCAGCCAGAGAAATGCAGTCATCTGCTCATTTTCACTCTAAAGTGCTAAATATATTTAAAGAAAGCAAAACAAAACACATAGAAAACAAACTGGTGGGGTTCAGATTAATAAAACAAAACAAAACAAAAAACCCCACAGCCATCAAGTTGATTCAGACCCATAGTAGAACTGCTTCATGGATTTCCAATACTGCAGATATTTACGGGAGTAGACAATCTCATCTTTCTCTTGCAGACCGCCTGATGAGTTTGAACCACAAAATTTGGTAGTTAACAGTCTTAACACTTAACCATGTCACCAGGGCTCCATCAGGAAACACAGGGAGGAAAAAAAATGAAATTTAAGAAAGAGATTGAAATTTAAAATAATAATAATAATAATAATGAAAACCAAAAAAGAACTACTAAACCTGGAAAAATAAAACACTTAAATGATAAGAAGCAACAGAGATACTCAGCAATAGAGTCAAATGAACAGAAGATAGACTAAGTGAATTCGAAGATAAAATGATTGAATTGATCAGGTCTCAAGATAAAGAACAACAACAAAAAAAGTGTATAAACCCAAAAGAAATATGGGAAGAAATAAGACATCAAACATTAGAATTATTGAAATTCCAGAGTACCATGACAGCAGTAAAGCTGTGGTAACAATTTGCTAAGAGATAATCAGCGAGAATTTCCCAGACTTGAACAGAGGACTAAGTCTGCAAATTCAGGAAGCTACATGAACACAAGTCACAAGTGACACAAAAATAGCAACTCTGCAACATATCTTTTTT